CATGTTTGTAGCTGTTTGTGATGCCATATATATATAAACACACACACACACACACACGCTCATCTGCAGCTATAAAATTACAGTGACTAAAACTTGAATGAAACTTACCATTTATAAAAGTAACCAAAATAATCCAAGGATGTTGCAGAATTAACTTATTTAATACAACATCAATATAAATTCAAAAAAAAATATTTACAGTCTGTTTTCACTAAAATAAGTTAATTTAAAAAGTTAAAAATAGTTTAACTGAAATTAGTTTTCTATTGTATATTCAATGGAAATATTTATAAGTCCTGAAATATGTTAATTTAAATTACAAAAGATATAGAAAATGCGCTGCAATTTGTTGAAATTAGATAATACAAATTGCTTATGTACATTTAAACTTATATTAAGTACAAAGAAAGACTTGGAATAAATGACTTTCCAGGAACACAATGTGGCCAGAATCATGATCTGAACTGTTGTGCACAAACATGCAATTTTTTTTTTAGATTTACTATATCAAAAAGCAAGGTTTATTAACATTGCTACAGCTTATCTATTAAGATTGTTTTCAAAATACCCAAAACTTAAGCTTTCAAATAGTTGACTATCCTTCTTCAAAAATAAAAAGTCTTAGTCATCTTTTACAAATAGGGATGTATGGTTCAAATGTTTAACTGGTTATTCCATGAGAAATTAGAATCGGAGTTAAAAGCTACAAATTCAGACCCATCTTTAATCAGCATAGGGTCGTGTGGTTTTCAAACAGGCCATGAGGCTCTTCATACTGCTTTCAATGCCCCTGGTTGCGATTTAGAAGCAATATTTAAATCACTGTACCATCTTTTCAAAGATTCTCCAGCTAGGTGGGAAGACTGGGAAAATTACTGGGTCTCGTATGTATTCACTGAAATTTTGTTCTACCCAATATGTAGAGAATGCACCTATTGCACAAGGGGCAACTGAAATTATTCTGAATTTCCAAACATACATCAAAATATTTTAAGCCAAATTAAACTCTTACAAGTATTTAATACTGTGAAATCTGAAACAAATGATATCCTTTCCATAGCAAAGTTATCATTTTGTTTCAATATTTGAAGAACTCTGTCCATTTCTAACAAAATATCAGACTGACCACCTTGTACTGCCTTTTGTCACCTGTGATTTTGAGTCTATGATCAGAAACTTTTTGAGAAGGGTTTTAAAACAAAATGTGCTATCCAAAGTAGACGCTGCATGTGAATTGTTGAAAATTGATTTAAGCAATACGGAAAATATCAAATTGGCTAAGCATGTTGATATCAATTTTTGTGAAACAGAAAATATGAAAGCATTGATTGCTACAGAGAAGGCAAGTCCAAAAGACAAGCTTGCACTTTGCAATTAGTGTCTCTTTGATCTGTTTAATTAAGAAATTGCAAGTGAAGTGTCTGTTAAAATTCTCATTTACTTGTAATGTCACCTGTTTTCCCTCTAAAAATGGTATCAGATGTGATGGATAGTAAGGCTCATTTTCAGTGTGTACTATCCACTCTTGTCAATTTGAAACGTCTCAAAACAGAAGAATGTGAGTGCTTAATGAGACAGTATGACTTGTTTTTATATCAAGTTGTGAAGCCAAATTCCCACATCTTCAAGGATTTTGACCTTAAAAACCAATAAGCTTGACAGTTTTTATTCAAACACATGGGCTAAACTGTTGAATACGAGTCCTTATGGCATGTTGTCAAACACATTTTGATACTTTCTCATGGCCAAGGAACTGTTGAAAGGGGATTTTCTATGAATGAAGGGTTAATGCACATAATCACAGATTATCCATTTACCTACAAGGAAGGATGTCTTCCTTGTTAGTGAGTGGTTACTTGTTAAAGGAACTGCTCATGGCTGCTCAAAGTGGTAGACAGAAACATAACGAATACCTCTATGAACAGAGGGAGATGGCTGAACTGAATGAAAAGACACAGAAAAGGAAACTTATTTTTGAGGATATTGCAAATCTTAGGCTAAACACCAAAGATTTGAAAAAGATATAGCATTCTTAGTTGAGGCTGCTGATGATCATACTGACAAGGCCGAAAAAGAAGGCAATATGACTGACTTGGCAAAATTGGATAGTTTCAGGAAAATGGCAAAAGAAAAAGTTTTTAGAATTAAAAATTTTGCATGAATAAATTGCAAAGATGGTGGAAAAGTAAAAGAATTGTTAATGTCCTATCATTGTGTTTCACATATAGTCATACGTGTATATACTTTTGCATAATATATACAGAATAAATAGTTAATGTGGATTATATTATTTATTTCATGTTATATTTGGTCTGGAAAATCAGTTTTGAGGGCTATGGAAAGTTTTGGAAAAGTCATGGAAATCTGAATCACCAAAGTTGTACGAATCCTGTAATGTGATGAAAATGAAAAGAATAACATACTTCTGTATAATAATAATAATAATACCTAATGTCTAATATATAAAAAGAGGAAATAACTTATATAAAAGAGTGAAAACACTTGATTCTAAAGGCCAAACTAGAAAAAAAATACAAACATAAAAATTCAAACAAAAGCTTCTTTTAAAATTGTATTTGTTTTTTAAAAGGTAAAAGAACAATAGAATAAAATAGAATATCAATAGAATAAAAACATGGAATAACTCTTGTAGGTTTGCAAAATGGTAATAATAATTGAGAAAGGAGAAAGGAACTAAAAGCGACTAACTGTAGTTTGAATAGGGAGTACAAACTGAGTGTTTTTAGTTTTGTTTGTAGTGATGGAAGATTTATGATTTTTAAAACATTCTCTTACACCAGTGCTGGTTTGTCCCACATATGGGCAGTTATATCTCTGTTTTAGTGTAGTATCATTCAGAATTTGTCAGTTGCTCAAGGTATGTGTATCTTTCACATAATATATCAAGAAAGTCAGTAAGTTATTTTATTTCTAGCTGCCTTTGTCATTTTCATAAGGTAATACCTGGTCTGTCAATGGCTGTAATGCTGCATGTTGTACAAAGATGTTGAAAGCAGTGTACTTCAGTGGTAGGCCAGGTGATGTTTTGAAGCTGTAACCTCTCTTAGATTTGAATGAGAATGGCCAATCATGTAGGTAGTGCTAATAACTCTGGGTAGGTCTGACATTAACTTTGAATTACATACAGCTCAGCAAAAGTGACTGTCCAAGTTCCTAAGCAAGTATACAAACCATGTTTATGATATTGTTAAAGATTGTTCATTTTTCCAGTATCTTTATTTCATTTTAATAAACTCATTCAGTCTTGAAAAAAATTCAGATCAACTCATTGTTAAATATCTTGCCAAATCTCCTGTTATTTAGCAGACCTATCCCATTGCTCTACGGAAACTTAATTTCATATGAAAATAACACACCTTTAAATGGAAGCAACTCATAACATGTCTCACGTAAAGATTAGGATATTTCTCATGTTGCACTCAGTATCAAGTATATTACGTGATTGGAAAGTGTGGTACCTTTAAGGTATGACAACATAGAGAGCCATAAGCAGCAGTGATACCAGAAGATATACTTGAGCTGAGCTGAACTTATGTAAAAGGAACTCTGGGAACAAGAGTGACTAGATGAAGGGAAGGAGAGTATTTTTATTAATTGATGTTCCTTCTCATTCACCTCTGATATGGTATACCTTCAAGAATATTTATATCTGAAAAAGATATAATCTGGACAAAGATTGGGGTTACAGAAAATTTTACAGGCATTTTCTATAGGTGCATAATGTTCAAGATAAAGCAAAAAATATGTCATTTTTAATTCTGGAGGAAAGTAAAAAACGTATTTTTTATATAATGAGCAAACTATGCAAACAAAAAGACTACAGAAGTTTAGTTCTTTTTTTATTTTGACAAAATTAATAACAAGAAAAATTCAAAATCTAAAATGAAAGGAAATATTTTTAATGTTTTTTCACAATAGTGTCTCAAGCAAAATTTTGAAACGTTTACAACATTAAAAAATGATGGAAAAACTAAATTTAAATTATATGAATTTTATAAAGCTGAAATAAGATACTGTTCAGTAAGTTGAACTTAGGTTTCATGCAATTTGTTTAATAATTATCTGGTTATTGAGATAATAGATATTTATGATTGATTTGGTTTATAGTAGATAAACCAGTCAGCAGATTCCTTAGCATTTTAAATAACTGAGTTCATAAAATATTATTACATACATTGATAGATCCCTTAAAATTATTGATATTTCTGAGACTAACCAATAGATGTTACTGTGTTGTTAATATTTCTACAGTTATATTGGTTTGACTTTTCAGTAGACTGTTAAATAAAGAATAATATGAATGTCTCAAGTGTTCATACTTGATTAAAGCCACTGTGGATAAAGTAGATATGCCAGGAAGCATCTTGGAAACTGCATACTTAATATTGTTTATTATTTCCTCTATCTTTTGCAGGCCATACAGGGGAGAGTCAGTTAGAAGGGATCTACTTAGCTTTGTGTGCAGTCAACCTGGCTGAGGTAGCTGGAGATGCTCTGGCTAGAGAGACTTGTGCTGATATCTATATTACTACTGCACTCAGAATAAAAGAAAGCTTACCAAGAAGCTTGCATTTTCTGGCTGTAAGTAGAACTTAGTTGTGAGTTTACGAGATAAAGATGAAGCTAAAAGTTTTCTCTTCAGGTGTTTATGAACTGTTACAAAATTGCTCAAGAAGCATTTACAAAGTTGTTATTGGTATTTTTATCATAATAATTTTGGGGACTAAATACCAATGTCTTAAACCTCAAAAATCCAGAAATTTGTTTTTTCTTATACTTTTGAACAACAATAGCTTTATGAATACTTACATAAAAACTGCCATAATTATGTGATTTGTTTTTAAGTTTATTTTCTTGTAAGCATTAGAGCCATGTTACCTTCAGTAACCTTATTTAAAATATACAAATGTCTACACTAACTTTTCTTTGCCATTTTGATATATTTAGCAATGGTATTACAAGGTTTACAAATAATTAATTCTACTTTTGAAAATTAGTGATACTTTAGACAGGTGGTGGGTAACCTGTAGGCTGCAAACAGACCTTGAGGGGTCAACCTTAGACCCTTCCTTTTCCAAATTAAATGTTCTATGTACAGCTCATTTTTATTCAAATTCAAATGTATCATTTTGGCTTATGAATGGTAAAGTGTGTCTTGCTGCCCTTGAGGATGTTTCAGAATTGCATGGAGCCCGCAGATTAATTTAGTCCGACAGATCCCTTCATTTAAGGAAGTGTAACAGAACCCTAATAAACAAACAAACAAAAATGCACATACTTTTGTATCTGTGTAAGTAACTTTGCCATAACTACAATAGCATAGTTGTAAAATAAGGTATTTTGAAAAAGATAATTTTCTTTATATTTGTGGCCAAATGTCAATTTTCACGATCTTGTTTGGTTTGTTTAAAGTACTGATTTCACACTGCTATGTTTTATATAAGCCTTATCCCTCTTGTCTATAGAACAGATCTAACTCATTTTTGAAATTTGTTTGTTAAGAAATAGATGCTTGTGTTATGAAGAAGTTTAAAATGAATTATTTTGTCAAAACTCAACTTGGGTTTCAAAAGTTGTGGCAGTAGTTTGTTTTACAGGATATTATTCACAAATGACACTTAAAAAATGTATGTTTTTGAATGTACAACCAGTTGAAATTTACTTTGATTTAGTGTACATCAGTAGGTTGCCTTTTGAGATTATGGACGGGAGAAAGAGAGACTAATATTGTTATGAGGACTGATAATAAAACATCAAGAAATGCATTTATAATTATTGTTTGTCCAGCATTATCACAAAAATATATTAGACCCTTGTAAATATATCAGGATATTACTCTCAACCTTTATGATATTTTTGTCACAATTGTTTAACAATATGATTAAATAATTCTATGTTTTGATTAAACATGCATAATGGAGGTAGTAAAAAAGAAAATCATAGATCAAATGCACTGAAATTAGAAGATATGCACACATTTTGGTTAATACTGTAAAATTTGTCTTCTTTCACCTGTGCATTGTTCAATTGTCATGAATTTAATTGATCCCAATTCTTATATTGTTGTTACCATATTAATATTACAAATTAAACTTATTCTTGTAAGTTTGATGTATCACAGTACAGGCTCGTATCTATCTATGTTTTTACACTCTAAGCTAACTTTGTAATTTTGTAAAATAAAAATAGTTGTTGGTGATAATGCATTTATGTAATATCTGTCTTTCGTGTATCAGTAGTAGTATTAACTAATTTGCTACAATGTTTTGAGTTTTTGAACAACTAAAGGTCTGAAAGTTAGTGATCTGTGAATTTTATATTTATTTTTTTTTACTTTTCTGTTGAAGGAAGTAGTTTATTTAAGAGTTCTTTATCTTTCTGAAAATTGAATATTGTGTAATCTCATGTCATGTTTGAATATTTAAAGAAATTATGTTAACTATAATTTTGGTGTAAAGACATCTTGTAGTGTGTTCTACTCATTGTAACAAACTTTTTCAGAGGTACTTTTTGAGTCAAGCTAAAGAAAAGTGTACATCTGAAAACCAAATTATCTCACCTGTGTTTCAATGGCTGTTTCATCCTGATGGATATAAATTTTTTGTCTCACACCAGTGGTGTTACAGAGAAAATGAATCAGTTTTCAGCTCTCTTGAAAATACTGGTATGTTTTTCAAAAGTATAAAATCAAAATCCATAAAATTTCATAATATATGGATTCTCTGCTGTTTGTAGTTATGAATAGATATACTACAATCAGCTTGTTAACCCTATTGCAACGGCATCCTTTTCTGCACAGGTCATGAGGTTTTACTGAGTTACATTCAAAATTTAATGAAACTACTTTCTTATCATAGTATATGAATAAACCTAGCATAAAAAATTTAGCTAATAATCCACATTTTAATATTATATAAGTTTTAATTACTTAATTTCATAAGGCAATATGTAAAAAAAAAAATTATCAATTTTCCCTTGTATGAGAATTGTGACCTTTGTTCTATAGGTATCTCATCTTCACTAATTTATTTACCACCCATCTGAGAAGTACGAAATTTAATGGCAATTACTCATTATAATGTTGTCATTGCTCAGGCAAAGCATAATTTTTATAGCCTTCAATCGCATTTGGTTACAGAGCCATAAAATAGAAAATCAGCCCTTTTGCCACGCCCACCTGTTACATACTCTCTCTTGCAGAAATTGCCAATAATTCTCTCTGATGTTTAATACTATATTATTTATAACCAATAGAAAACCAAGATTTTAATCTTTCAAATGACACATTATATTACCTTGTTTTTTGTACAGAAACTTCTCTATTTCTCTTCCAGTTCAAACTTTATTCCCATGAGAAGCACATCGATGAACTTAGCTGAATTTTTAACAGCTTTTATTGCATAGTTAGGAAGCCAGACATTTTTTTTTTGTGCATTACTATTCTGTGTTGTTTGGTGTATTGTTGAATTAAATAAAAAATTATTTAGTGCCGTAGTACCATTTGTATAAAGAAGGTATACTAATTTTTCATGAGGTTTGCTTCTGAGCAACTCGCAAGTAGCCCTGCCTTATGAAGTTTCATAGGGTAAAGTGAGATACACTTTCACCAAGTGATTTTCAACTTGTTAGGTGGGAATATTAGTTAGACATGGTTCAAAGGGCAATAAAACAATTAAAGGTAAGTAGATACAGGTGTATGTTGTTACAAGTTGACCAACCTGTTAAAAAGTTACGGTAGAGAAAATAACAGATAAAATATAAAGTTTTACTGAGAAAATGTTTGAAATTTATTTAGTAGGTTTTAGAGATTACACAAATGAAATTTGAAAATTTTCAAATGAGGAGAAGTATTTCTTATCTTAATACGAAAATCACTTTCCACTCAACCAGTAAACACTTTGACTCCATATATTCACGGAGAAATTTTTAGTAAAAATTCTTTGGTAAAAATTCTTATTTTTTGTCAATAGTTGACTTAATCATCACTGAAAGCTTGCAACATTTTATGAAGATACACAAAACATATTAGAAGTTATAGTATGGAAACTAAAGGGCAGTTTTAGGTCGAATTGACTGAGCCTGTAGTGAGGGAGTTACCATTAGGTTAACTGTGTAGGTATGTATATTTCTTTGCTACACACATTCTCATTTGAACATGTTTTGATATGTTGAAAGGTATCAAATCAAACTGAGAAATGTAGGTAATATTTCTCAGTTATTCTGTTTAAGGAAAGCCTTAAAGTTTAAGTCTTTGTATTTTTTATGGTAATATCTTTTTCTTTAGCTGTCTTCAGTTTTGTTCTCCCAAAGAAATTATTTTAATACTATGACATACAGTATGTTTATGATTTATTCAAAAATATATTATACAGCAGCCCTTCAAATGAACTCATAAAATCTGTCAAAGCCTACATTTTGAAAGCGTTGTTGTTTGCTAAAGAAAGTATGAAGAAAACCTATATTTTCATATTTTAATATTTTTTTTCCACTTAAAAGATTTATACAATTTAATTGAATTTTTGCATTAATACATACATGCATATATATTGTAAGTAATGGTGATTTTGTTATACAAGTATTTGTTTTTATTAAAGTTTTGTGAAACTATTTGTTACTCCTCTCTATAGGTGATCCTTTATCATATGTTTCTCAAACATTCCGAGAAGATGTATTAGGAAAATCTATCAGGTCATTGTTTACTTTGCCAAAAGTATCAATTTCTGCACTGCAAAGAAGGTAAAAAAAATGTTTTTCTTATTTTTTGTTGATTTGAGGATTTTGTTATGACATTGTGAACAACAAAAAATACTTTAAGATTTAGTTAGGAATTGATAAGGTACTAATTAAAAAATTAGTCATATATGTTTAGTATAAACAAAATATTTATTTACTTTGTTGTTCTAAACATTTGTTTTCTTAGCAATTTTATTTGAAGAAAAGAATGCTGGGAATAGTAGTTTGTATTGAATTTCACTTTACTTAGGAAATGATGACTAGAAATCTTTAAAATTTTCCTGCCTTTTTGTCTTTTTTTTTTCTTGAAAGTAAATTATCTTGTTGCTTTTTATGTAGAACCCAACCTTTTGGGGCAAGCACCTTATACTATGTGGAACAGTTGTTGGAAGCAAGTAAAGCTGCAGGTCCACCTCGGAATGTGGCTTTTGCTGTGGGAAGTAACCTGCATGTACATAGTACTGACCATGTGGCTGAATGGTGGGCTGCACTTGTGGGTGTAACTATATACTGGCTACAGGGAGATGATGAGAAGGCTGACAAACTCTCTGAGATTGTAGATAGTTTTCCAAATAATCTTTCAGAAATTCAGTAAGTTAAATACGGAAATTTAAAGATACAACAAAAATCAGAAGTACTTAACCCTATGCCAACCATTGTCATTTATGCATTTTGGTCATTACCTTTATATTTTAGTTAATTATATATCATTTGTGTTTTAAAATTCATATTTGAAAGGTTTAATTATTAGTTAAGTTTTTCTACTCCTTGCTTCACTGGTCAAGTTATAAAAGTAGATAGTGCTGTTGGCTAAAGTGGACTCTCTGCCAATCATAATGTTATATCACCCGTGGACACCTGTAATAGTGTGTCGACGTGAATAATAAAAGATAAAGAATTGAAAAGGAAAATAAAACATTAAAAATAAAAAATTTTGAAAAGGTGATTACAAAATTATGCATATGAACCAAAGAAGATATTTTGAGATTATTCAATGAAGAGATAAAAGGTAAGTACGTATACTGTTTCTTAATTTTAAACATTTCATTGCACTGTATGTAGATGATAATAGCTAGAGTTAGTGATATAGCACAGAAAATGAAATATGAACATTTATCTCATAAACTTTTGATATCCATTTAGCAGGTTCTGCAGATTTTGCAAGTGAAATGTGAAAAGTGTAAGATAATAAATAAATGAAAATCACCTTGCAGGTGAACTATTCAGAGTATGAGTGTAAATAACAAATTTTTCTTTGAAATAGTAGAAAAAAATAAAAATTAAATGTGTTATTTTTTTGTAACTACATACTTTTAGGAAAGTTCTTCTCAAATTTCAAACAGTTTCATCCACTAGTTTTATTTTTGGAATGAAATAATAGGATGAAAGTGATGTTAACTACTTGCAATACAAGAAGCTGATTGTCGTCATAGGATTAATAACTTAAATGAAGCAAACTTTTCATGTTATAACTGCATTGTTACTATCCTATTGAAGTGAATAAAATACACCCAAGAAAAGAGAAAATTAATGGAATACATTGTCAGTTTGTTAGCAGAAAACCTGATGAATTTCTTTATGTATATTTATAACAAGATATAACATTACACTGTAAACGTTGTACATCCTTTTAAAGTTCCAAGGACACCAACTGAAGTGAGGATGATTATTCATTGGAATACTAAAATCATAATTCTTGTAAAAATTTGCTTTTAAAAAGTTTATAATGTGATCACTTTAAATGGGTGCTATCAGTGTGAAACCATTTCTATAAATATTTATCTGATTTTAATATTTTTTCCCCTGGTTAAAAGTGCAGGCATACTCACCAAGTTTTTTTGAAATTTTAGCATAAGAGTTACATAATATTTATAAAACAAAAAAGAATATACTATCAAATATATTTTGCATAGATGGAAACAAATTAGAAACTTCTGAAAGTTAGGGTTAGTTTTATTGATATAATTAATATACTGCTTTGTAGAGTTTCTTCTTTTTGAACATTATACAGTAAATATTTTTGTGATTTTAACAATTATAATCAACTACTGATGTTTCAAGTGTTAGTCGTATGGATTGAAGTTATTTTGGGTTGTGCATACCATTAAAATCTCTAAGTGAAGGTTTAATTAGAATGATATAAAGCACCAGCAAAAAAATTATATTTTAGAATTGTTAATTTGGTAATTTTAGAATGAAAAGCGATAATATATTATTAATTTGACTCTGGTATGTACTTTTTGTATGTGTTTCTTCTTAGAAACCCTCTTCCTGAAGCTCTTTTCACAGCATACAAAGCTAGGCAGGCCTATTTGAAAAAACATCTTCCTGGTGAAGTTTTGGAACTCTGTACAAAATCTGGAGTCTTGTTGAAAAACAGCCTTAATTTTGCTTCTCATCATGTTCCTTCACAAACTGTCCAGGTTTGTTTAAAATGATGGTTACTTTATAAAAAAATATTTATTTGCTTTTGCTGTCATATAGTACATTGTTATCAAATGCCATCACTTAAACATATACAGTCTACAAGGTTTGTACAGAAGCATTAAAACCTTTAAAGTACTTGAAATTACCTTTTTGTTTATTCTCAAATTAAGATTACTGAGATCTTTAAAAGTATACATTTTAATTAGGGATCAAGTTCTATAAAATGTTAAATTCTAGTAAAAGTGGATGGTTGATGAACAATCAATCACCCCCACTATCTTCAATGTGAAAACAAATATCCAGCTATGGTCATAAAACCATTCATAAAATTCAGTTCTATAAATAAACTCTTCTCTACTTATAGTCCATGCATACACTTTTGATTGGATTGACGAGTAATTGCAAACATATTTTTAAAGCTGAAAGTCACTATCAGCAATATTCAAGCTTTGCCTCAATATCTTCATGCATAAATATATTCAAACTCATGGGTGATCATTGTTATGTGGTATAGCAGTCTTGAAACTATAAGTTTTGAAATAGATTGTTTTGTGAAAATTAGTGACTAAAGACTATGGTGATTATTAGTATGAAATTAAATTCTATAACAATAGAATAAATATAAAGTCTCAGTAAGCTGTGAATACTAATATCTGTTATTAAGAAGATGGAAAAGAAAATTCAATCATATGATTAGCATAATTAGAGACATTTGAAATTCAGTGGTACCAGATTATTGCAAGAGTTCTGAAGTTTTTAGTTTTCAATATCTGATTAATCTCACTTTTAAGAATGTTGCCTGTCATTATAGTTGGTGAAATAATTCAAAATTAATTTTATTTATTTAATAATTTATTATTTATAAGAAGCGGGCATTATTTTGAGTATTTATCACCATACTGCCAAGTAGATTAAAACCACGTGGAAGGTTTTTCATAATGATAATTTCAATTGAAGATCTTTGTTCCACATCTGATCCAAAAACTCAGAGTGATTGTATGTAGAGTTGGAAAATAATTTACTTTTTCAGGGCATAAAGTAGTAAGGTAAAACTAATTATTCAGAATCTAAATGTTTTAGTTGTGGGATGGTGTCAATTGTGCATCCTTGTCTGTGTAATGTGAGAAATATAAACTGATACTATTCTGAGAAGTGAAGTCACTATATGTCAGTAGTACTACTAGAACATTTTTATAAATGATATTTAGCAAAATATGATAGGTGTATATGCACCAATTTTGTAAAAATAAAATTAAAACTAATGAACAAGTTCAAAGCATTTCAGGAATGTACAGATCATTACTTTCGAAGGGAATAGGTCAGAATTACATGCACACTTTTTTTACTGTTTGATGCTCTTTCAAATGGACTGTTCTCTAGTGATGTAAAATATTACACTAGCATTCCCAAGCATACAGGTTTAAATTGATTAATAATTCAGTATTTTTATCATTTTTGTTTCATTTAATTTTATGTTAAATATTTTTTCAATAATTGTGCATTTATAATGGGTTTAGATTTAGTTTTGTAATAATAAACAGAAAGGTATTAAATGAAGAAATTAAGGGATGAAAGATTTTCACATATGCTGATCACAAAGCTGTAACTTGTGAAAACTATTCAATTTCTTAAATTACTCTGTTATTATAAAGCTGCTATTGTGTATCATAATAATCCTGTAACAAAGATGTAAACTGAAACTTTGGGAAATTCATTAATTAATTTTACTTAGGAGTGTAAAGACTATCTTGTCTTTATAGTTATTGTTTGTTCCATCTTTTTTTTTTATTCTTGTCAGAAAAAGTCTAATTTCTTCTGTAATTTTTAAGTCTTAACTTGTATTAAAGTTTGAATGACATTGATAACAACAAATACCAAACAACATTTAGTGACTAGATATTGTTACACCTGTTTGATACTAAATGATGCTTGAAAAGAAATGAACAAATGACATGTGATGCACGTATGTTAATTAAGTAATACCTTTGTATTATGTTATTTATGTTATCTGGTATTGAGCTACTTCATTAATCACTGTATATTAGTATTCTTCATGGTATTGGAATTAATACAAAAAGAAGATGATATAAGAATACCTTGTGTAGGTCCTTGAAATGTGGCTATTGGTTATAAAAGGTTTTGTGAAAGTCCATGAACTGCTTGTCTTATAAAGTATATCAGTCCTGTTACTTTATATAAAAATGTTTCATTTATGATTGATATCACACAGTTGGTCTTTTTTAGCTATAATCATTTACATTTAATGACTGACAAAGTACAGTCCTGTTAATCTGTTTTTGGACGAATTAGCTCCTTTCAGTTGTTAAGTACACACCTACATATTAAATTTAAGAATTCAAGTACAACCGATAGTTCTTTTAAAACTATTCAACTTTACATTTCTGCACAGCTCCAGAGAGTCCCGCCTGTAAAGCAAATATTATTTTTTTAAATTCTTCTGTCCATCCCAAATCATAGGTTGTTATTTGCTAAAAAATTACCATACCTTGAGAATACAGTTACCAAGTCTTGTGTCTCTGATTACTATTTTTTTATTACCCTTGGTTCACATTAAGTACTGTGAGTTCATTAAAGGGTGCTAATGAAGAATAGCTTTGAAAATAGCTACAGGCAAAGTTTAGATACCATTGGCTATAGCATATTTTAAACTTTTTATGTCAATATAAAATAAAGTAATTTATGATTTAGTGCCAAAGTGTTTAGATGTAGCTCCTGTGGAGAAGAACAATGGAATTTAGTGGGAAGTTTTCAGATGACTTAGGAAGAAACCACAGATTTATAATTCTTTTATAGTTTCATGAGACATTCTATACATTTCTAAAAAAATGTTAATGTTAAATTATATTTGTTTGAAAGTTATGGCTATTTTCTTTTGTGACAAGACATCATTTAAGCCTAATTAAGTTTAGAGAGTACTTTTTAAAGTCAAAACTAGATACTATTTAGTGCACTTTGTTTTAGTATTTTCACTGTTATAAACTAAAAAGTCAAGGAATATCAGTTACACCCCTCTGGCTCAGAAATAGTTAATATAGAAAGTGTAAATTTGGTTATTCAAAAATACAGATTTCTAGAAGATAATTACAAAAGTTTAATAAGAAAGGATACTAAACTTAAACATGATTTTTGGTTGCACTTGTGAACAAAGTGGTTTCAATGTAAAACTTTTCATCAAGTGCTTAGTATAAAGTATGTATAATTGTTATAGCAAGTTTCAATTGATATCTCAAAACTGATACCCACCTTTCTGTAGGTAAGAGTGGTACTGTGGTGCATTGTAGTTGCATTGCATGTTTATTTGTTAATGCAGTGCATCGGCAGTGCAAACACAGAATCATAAGTATGTCATCGATGTGAAAATTTCTGATTTCCATACACACATCTATTGTGGGTATTAACTGTAGTTTGACTCACTTATTTTCATGTGGTAGATACCAACGACAGAAAAAAGGAAAAAAAAAAGGAGCTGAAAAATTATTAATGCCAACCACCTCCAACTGCAACTGAATGTGCAAAGGGTCAGTCTGTTGGACTAACCTTATATTGAAGAAGGAATGTTGACTATGATTTCAAATATACTATATTATATCTACATGAAATGTGACAAACTTTCAGTAAAATGGACAAGTTGGTTGTACACAAAAATTCAAGGTGTGTTACAAAAGTATGTGTACTCAAATATGTCTGTGAATTGACACCAGTCTGACTCAGAGTGAAAAGTGATGTTTGTGAAAAGAGTAAAAATAGTTTGTCCATTGAACAATTTTGGTTATTGCATTTGCTAAACCCTAGAACCTCCCAAATGTTTTTCTTCAGTAACCCTGTATCTTGAATATGATATTCACTCTCCTCTACCATGAACTGTCACTAAAGCAGCAGTGTAGTGTAAAATGAATAGTTGATAATTCTGAGATCAAATACATAATACTATGTTGATAGGCACTCTGTTAAAGGTAATAATAACATGCACACTTTGATTTCCACCAGTACACATAGGCTTAATTCTCTCAACATGGGCTCGGTCGAGTTGACTGACCATGTGACCTCTTTGTACACGTTTAAAGTCTTTATAGGTTTGATACTACTAACTTTTAATATAGTGAATAGTGTAACATGAGCTCCATGTTCTTCAAGTGATTCAAATTATAATGGCACGAATAGTAATTAGACATGGTTCAAAGGGCAATAAAACAATAACATTTAATTATAAATAGATGTATACTGTTATGAGTTTAAAGCTATTTAGGATAAACAAATGTAGTTTCGTGTTACAATTTGAAGTCATTCTAGAAAGAAAAGGGGTAATTTAGATTTATTTAGATTTCTTATTTTGGTGGTTACATGGTCAGTCAAATTGACCAACATTGTATAGAGTAAGGGTAGAGAAAATAACAGATAAAATATAAAGTTTTACTGAAAACAAACATTTGAAATATATTTAGAGATTACGCAAATGCAATTTGAGATGAAGAAAAGTATTTTTAATCTTAACATGAAAATAACTTTTCACATGGACTACTCAAAACAAATACTCGATATATTCGTGGACAAATCTTTTTTTAGTTTATTTAAAATACTTCACTAAAAAATATGACTTTTAGTATGTAGAAGACTGTCAAATTTTGTCAAAATATACAGGAATTACGTTACTCACGAGCTGCATTTTTAATATATTATTATTATTTATTTTACCTAATCTAACCTTAACTAACCTAAAGAGATCCCTATTTTTACATTTTAATAACTTTTATAATAATAAGTAAAGAATAAATACGAAAAACAAGAAATAAAGTACTTACCTGAGTATTAATTTTTTTGCTTTTGACTAATTCTAATAATGCACAAAATAATTTTTATTTAATTAAATAATGCACCAAAGCACATAGAATAATAACATGCAAAAAGCAGACAATTTACTCTAACTATCACAAGTTTTTTGGCTTTCTAACTATGCGACAAGAGCTGTTACAAATTCATCCAAGGTAGTCGTTATCTATCCCATGGGAACGAAGCTTGTACTAACAGAGAAATTGACAATTCTCCATTCAGAAAACAATGTAATATAATATGTCATTTGATAGAGGAAAACCTTGGATTTCTATTGGTTATTGATAATATAGAATTAAAGGTAAGAGAGAACTATTAACAAATCCTGAAAGAGAAGATGTGACAGGTGGGTTAGACCAAGAGGGGTCTGATTTGATGGCTCTGTAACCAAACAAAATTGAAGGGTATAAAAATTCTGGTTTATCTGAGTGATGACAATTTTATAGTGAGTAATTTATGTTTAATTTTGTGCTTATTGGAGGAGTGGTGAATAAAATAAAGAAGAGGAGATGCCTAGAGATATTATATCACATGTGTCACAGTAGGGGAAATTCAGGATTTTTTTAAATATTGCCTTATAAAATTAAGAAATTAAAACTTATATAATATCAAAATATGGATTATTAGCTAAGATTTTATGTTATACTAATTATCATAATTTAATTAAATAGTTTAATAAAATTTTGAATGTAAGCTACTAAAACCTCGTGACACGTGCAGTAAATGATGCCTGTGCAGATAGGGTTAATAACCACAGCATCAAGTTTTTATTTTATCAAGCTACAATAAAGATGGATAAAATGTTAGAAAACTAATGTTATTAGATGTGATATATATTTTTAGTGTCTGTTTTTACCTTTTATTACCTATCCATTGCAGAGCTTCATGATTTATCCTTTAGCTATTAGGGTTCTTGTATATGGTACAGTGGATATTAGATTTGTTAAAACAAAGTACTGTAGAGTTTATCTAGTTATCTTATATCTTCATGATTACAGTTGACATAGATAAATGCAAGTGTAACTTCTAAATTCCATTGATAAGGGCTAGTAATAGAGGCATTTTTGTGCCTTCTTCATAACAGTAGCCAACAGGTTTGTTCTAGCAGTTACTTCTTTGCATATAGTGATGATAGACATATTTATTTTTATGCTCCTTGAAAGAAAAAAGACAAAGTTATGGAGATGCTTTGTTAACTTACTTCTGTATACGAGAAGACTTAAAATTTTATATTGTTTTTAAACAGAAAGTTAGGAGTTGTGATTATTTGTTTCAATTGTCTACATTTTGTTACAAGCTGTAATTAACTGAAATTTTACATTCAGTATGTGTGATTTTTAGAGGTTTTTCCCCCACTTTTATTGAACACATAATACCAAAACAAAAATTGGTTCAAATATAATTAAATGCTTTAATAACTAGATTTTTCTACCTCGATTTTCTCATTCAGTTATGACTTAAAAGTATGAAAGATAATAAAACCAAATGATACAAAATTGTTTTATCATCAAAATGTTTTTGTGAAATTATTTTGTCTGTTTCCTGGTAGAAATTTTTTGGGGATCTTATTAAAGAATGAACCAGTAAAATTATTGAGAAGTTGAATTTTTTGTAAACTATTTCAGTTTTTGAATTTAACCCTCAACAGTGCACCTAGGGCTAACATTGATCCCCAAAAACTTTCTTGATTGTATATCTTTTAACATAATAATTGAAAATTTATATCCATTCACATAATTGTCAATCAGAAACCCTGGATGAATATGGCACTTTTGTTTTCAATAAAGGCAGAAAGGATACGTAGTGATAATCAAATAATCATACTATCATTAACCGTCACTATGCATGAAGTTTAACCTATAACATACAAAACAAATTTCTAAATGTTATTTCACTATACAGGATGTTATAGAGGATAATTTATCAATATAGTACAGTATCATCTGATCTGTTTGATTATAACATCATTGTGGTAATTATGTATGCACATCTCATTCCTCAACAAGTGTTCTCTATAATGATTGCTTATAATGCCCTATTTTATAGAAACTTTGTTTGATAATTGTTGTAAATAACCCGCTTATTGGATTTTCAATCCATAGCCTACTATAAGGATACATTTGTGTTGTGGTCTAGTCGGATCCAAAGTGACCCACAATGTACACTTTCAGTTTTCTTTCAATTGAATTTTCCAGTATTTTGTAATCTCATCATATATTGGAGGATAATGACTTGAATATAGGAGTATGATAAAACTTCTGCATTTTTTTGATACACTGTTTGTATAAGAAATGGTTTAATCCCAACTTATTTGTATACTGATGAACAATGTAATTTTGTAATTTCTTGATTTGTCAAGATATATTTTTATGTTGTTCACATTGCATGTTAACTGTAATAAAAGTTGTAATGCAATTGGTTTTTGCAATTTCAATATAGAACTTACTGTAATGGTCATAAATTCAAATTTTGGCAGCATAGGAGTCATCTGCAGTTTAAACAGTATTACTTTTCAAACGGGGTGGTTGGCTTTTGGAATGAGCTGCCTTCAAGGGTAGTGGAGGCAGAAAATTTAACCGAGTTCAAGAAAAGATTGCATGAATACACAAGTAGTAAGGGGTGGTTATAATTGGAAGCTGGAAGGGACATTCTTGATGGGCTAATTAAGCTCCTTTTTGTACCTTTAAAATTTTTTGAATTGATAATTTTGTACTGGGGGTCCAACTGGACCCCAGGTGTTCTACAATGTAACTTTTCAAAGGTGTACTGATGAGAGTTAAATGTATTTATAGATAAGATGCATTAGTTTTAGTGATGTAGGAAACATTTAGGCTGATTTCAATCTGGTAAAAAAAAAATTTCTATGATTTAATAGGATTTCCAGATTCTTGCATGCGATTGGCTGCTCAGTACCAGAACAGCTGTGTGGGAGGAAAGCATATGGATTACCAAGAACTCTCCTGTAAGTTCAGGAGGAGGAGATCAGAGTTTCACAACAGCATATCAGCATGATTTAAGTTTGTTACGCAAGTTAGCTCACCGCATGCCAGAAGCTCAATCAAAGGTTTGACATTTAAAGTTAACTTTAGGAATAAATGTCAATTTGTTAGAAATCTGTTGGAATTTTTTATTGAGATGTAATGTTATTGTGTTATGTGTAAGACATAGAAAGGTAAAGAATTAACTTAATGTGTTTCCTTGCGTGTTTATATTACTGAAGTAATTGTCTTTCAAGTTCATGTTATAAACATTGTAGTTTTGCACTCGTACAGAACAATGCATGTAAAACGTTCACTCTTGCACTTGTTTAAAAGTACCACTGTACAGTTAGCCAATAGGAATATTGTGTTTCCATGGGAGCTAGCATGCATACACACACAGATTGACTGACACACACCAATCTTGTAATTATATATGATACAAATTGCTGTTAATCTTACTTAATGGACAAACATCTTTATATAGATATAGAACAACTGAATCTATTCAGATGCATTTCATAAAATCAAATAGTATTTCAAAAGAAATTTAAACAATTTTGATATTTAACTCTCATAACTTTGTTTCAACAGCTGCCACTATATGAAGCTATCTTACGAATGGTTACTGGAGCAAACCCAACCAAAACTTACTTTCTCCTGGACCGCAGTTTAAGGAAAAGAGTCAACTCTTCCCCTTCAATCATTTGTACTAAAGGTAAAACTTTTTTATAACAAGTTATTTGAACATTAATTTTGTTATTTTTCAGATATTTTCACTTTATTATCTCTGATAAAACTACCCCAATTACAAATAATTTAAGTCATACAGAATTAAAGAAAAATTATAATTCATGTTAGATTTACATAGTATTTTATGTTAAATATAATACTAAAACATTTTCTTATTGATGCATGGCAGTTTCGATCAGATACCTGCTACAGTATTTGTTAATATCTTATGCTATTATCTGTCATGTATGAAATTTAATTTAGTCATCATGTTCTTACAGGTCGAGTGAAAAAGTTAAAAACAAAGGTAATTTATACTAAAGTGGTCTGATTTGTAAATATTAGCAAAAACCAGTAACTGGTTTTATTGGATTTAGCAATTTAGTAATTAATGCCTTCAAAGTTATTACCCTGATTAGGTGTGGAAGTGTACAGTTAAAAGATTTATTAATTTTTAGGAAGTGGAGCAAATCAGTTGGAGCCTGGTGATAGAGACCATGCTTATGCTTTAATGCTTGCTTGCCGGCATTTACCACAGCCCATGCTTTCTTCACCTGGGGATCGTGAAAATATGCTTGCAGATGCTGCACATATCCTGGAGAAATTGGGTGATAAACGAAAATTGAAAGATTGTCAGAACATGATGATCACTCTTGGAACTGTTGTAAGTGGTATCCAAACGTAATGGGGCAGAATATTTTGTATATATCCAAGTGATGTTAATAGAAAGTTACTGTTGTCTTTTAAAAACATAAAGAAATATATGATAATGTTGTGATAAACTATATTAATGTACCTTTCCTTTTATCAGTCATTTAACAGATTAATTACAAGTAAGTTTGATATCTAACAATTAAAGTTTGGTTTTTTTATTCTAAATAATGTATTGTGTGAGTATACTTTTACATAATCAATATTAACTATTGATCAAAACAAGCTACTTACATAGATCATAATTGAAAAATCAAACCGGTAATGGGTAAGGCTAATTGATGTTCTTATTTATCAAGATTTATAATGCATTGTTTCATCATTGGGTAGTGACTACATGTACTTTGTATTAAAGACCAACAGGACTGGGAAGCAAGAACCCATATTTTATTTTCTTCAAACACGTAGTAATTATAATGTTATATGAGTAAAACAAATTCTTCCATATTTTACATTTCAAAAATTTATGTAACCAAAAATTATTTTACTAAAAAAATGTAAATTTGCACTGATTATCACTTTATTCCGTACATCATCACAGACTCGTATATCCTGTGTCCAATATTTACACACGTTAACTAGTTATCTATGCCAGATTAAGTTAATTATACCTAAAATATGCTTTCTCCCACACAGTGGAAGTTACCTGATAAATACAAAAATATATATATATTTCAGAGAAGTTAGCAATAGATTCATCAGGCAGGAATCTAAGTTTAGAAATATATAAAAACACCACAGCTGTGGCAAGAAATATTTCTTTAATCAAATGGTTAGGAATTTACAAGGACCATCATCATTGAACTATAATGAAAAATAAAGGTGGTGTGAAATGTAGAGGAATAGCAAGTTACATAAAATCAATAGACATGCATGTCAAGATCTTTGTTTTAGGACAATTAAATGAATAACTATTACTTTTAATTAGGTGGAACAGAAACATTTTAAATTAGTAGTTAGAAGTACTACTTAGGAATAAGAGTTCATTTGTAATTACTAATTTTCTTTGATTAAAGATTAACTTTCGGATGAAATTAGGGTAGTAATTCTTAATTTATGGGAAATTGAACTAACCAGTTGGAGCATGGTAACATACAGACTGTGCTTATGATTTAGTTTTTGTTCATAGGTTAATATATATGACCTATAGTTTTGCTACAAGTATATTTATAAACAATCAGTGAAAACCAAATGGTAAGCAAAAAATATTTGGTTCTAAACATTTTGATTTTTGAAGGAAGATTAGAAAATCATATACAATTTAACATTAGTATTATCAAGTATAGTATGTGTAGATTTCTCTTTGTATTTGGAACCTAAGGAGTGACCAATATTAAATTTTGAAGCATGTGATTTCATAGGAGATTCTATTTTATTTGTTAGGAATTTACATGTTAAGCTTTGAAGGAAATGTAAAGGATAATAATCATTTGTTTATACACCTTCTAATAAATCCCCAAGAACTGATGGATTTAGAGCAGAATTCTACAGATTTTTTTCTTTCCCTCATATTTGACAAGTATATTTGAATTTTAAATGCTATCTTTGAGTCACACTATTTTTTTTTTTTTTTTGCCATCCTTGAGGCTTGGTGTCATTACACTTGTTCCCTAGGGAAGTGATCCTAGTCTTGCAAACTAGCATCCCATTACTCCAACTACAAACTAATTGGCAAAGTGTTAGCAAATAAATTATAACTGTTGTACCCTCATTGATAAATAACAATCAAACTGCCTGTATGAGATATTGTCAAAACTGAAGACCTTAAAACTGCTGTTAGATTATACCGAAAAAAAAAAGACTTTGTGATCTCATTCTTAAAATTGATCAGAAGGCCTTTTACGGTATCAAATAATTTGTATGTTCTGTTAGAAAATACAAGTTTGGTAGTATATTTGTGAAATGGTTTTTAACCAAGTATATCCTCATTCACCAAAGTTTTCTGTATAAATTTTATATTGAACCTTTACACAAAGTGTTCATAAATAATACTTTAATCCAAAATTTAACTGTTAAATGTGATAAAATAGTTATTCTTAAGGTTAATCACATGCTGATGATATCTCTTTCATGATTGCTAACTTTGAAAGTGTCAAACCAGTTATAGAATGTTTTGCATTGTATGAGGAGGCCTCAGGGGGCAAATTAAGATCCACAAAAGTAGAAGCGTGTTTTTAATCACGTATTTGACATAGAGTGTGTACAGGTAACACATGAGCTGTATAAAATTCTAGGTATCACTTTCCATAGTAATATTGTGATAGTGTGACTTGATATGGATGAATATCTTTTGTTGAATACAATGTATTCTTGTCACTTAAAGGTTGAAATTTAGCAGGTAATTTACTTGTAACTGGTATTCTACAATGCCTCCTACAAGTCCTTCCTCCAAAACAGCATCATTATCAAAAATCTTGTATATTTCATGTGGAATGATGGCATCCATAAAATAAAGTGATACTCTTCTACATCACCATAATTATGGAGGTGGTGGCTTGGTTCATTTATATTACAAGATGTTTGAGTTTTGCTAAAATTGTTATGTTGAAGTTAAATCCAAAATGTTTATTTTTGTATGATACTTTTAAGGGTGAACATGATAATATGAAATTGGATTTTAGGATTACTTAGTGCCAAATCTTGACAAAATACATGATCTTCATGACTCTTTTATTAGAGAGACTATGCTTGCTTGGGAAACATTATCTTAAGATAATTACCCTACCATTAATGAACTGTGTTGATCAATTATGGATATGCTAATATTTTTATATCCTCTTATAAAATACTCTAAGACCAAACAGTGGTGTTATTAATATTCAAATTGTTGAGGTCAAGGCCCTTCTCTGTGAGGTCAAAACTGGTTTATTAATATCACTGCCTTTGTTGAAGAATGTTCAGTTATGTGTATGAATGTTAAGGTAAAGAAATGACCAAATATTACTTATTAAAATCATGTCTACCTCAACATTGGTTTCCATTTTTAAATTCTTATTGTGATTACATATGTACTGTTAATGAAATGAGATTTTCTGTGGTATACAATATTAGTAACCCTAGCCCAAACTAATGTCTTGTATTCTAAATGATTCTCATCAAAATACCCCTATACTTCCTCTTTGGCAGCAAACCATAACCTTTGAAGGAACAATATATATTGTTCTATATCATAAAATTGGTTTTTTGACTTCCCATTTTTATGGTGGTATGAAAACTAATTGAAACTGTTTCATATAAATATGCACCGAACTGGATTGTGTTCATTATGAAACTATTTAACATCTCCTCAGATGTATTTGTTCATTGTTATGTTTTTAAATTGACTGAATACATCTATGTTAAGATTATTCACTCTACTGATTTTTATTAATTATGTTGACAAGGTTTATAAAATGAGAATTTTTTTTTATGTTTCTCATAATTTTGGTAACTGAAGCTGTTAAAATGCATTTAGTTAATTAATATATAGGCAAGGCCAGATTGAAAAATAGTTAAGTTTTACTACAAATGATATTCTGTTAATTCAAACTTGACTAATTCTTTTGTGATTTGATGATAATAAAACAAGACTTGTTTGTTTAACAAATGAGTTAGTTAGTTCAATAAATACGCTGATGTATGAAATATATAATGTAATATTTTCTGTTGTAGTTTTTGTATATTCATGTTATATTTCTTGTTCACATCCTCTGTTTTGGAGAGCTCAATAGAGAAAACTGAGCAAAATGTGTTGTTGGCAATGAATATGACAGATAGTGTAGCTGAAACACTGTTATTCACACCCTTCAGAAAAAACTTAAGGAACTGGAAAAACAAACAAACTAACCATCACAATAATTTAGTTTGAAGGAAGAGAAAACACACTTTATGTTTGTCTGCCCTTCCCAACTGGGGTGCTCGGGAACTTCTGTTCCCCTTCAACCCAACGAGTGAGTTTTTATTGTTTAAATGAATTTAATAGATAAGGGTAGTATTAAAAATACAGTAATCTTAATAGTATTGTTTTATGACAAATATAGGTTATAAAGTGAGCATATAGGCCTGTAAATGTTTTATTGCTATAAGCAGATGTTGTAATTAGTTAGTCTGTTGAATTGAACATTTAGAAATAATAATCATGTATTTTAGAAATTTATTGGGCAAAAGGGAGGGAATCTTTAATAACAAATTTGCTGACATACATGTAAGATAACTTAGAATTGCAACTAAAAAATTAGCTAGTTTCTATGTACAATAGGTATGCTGCACAGGAGACCAGGCCAGAAGAGGTATTGTCAGAACTGACATCTTTTTTTTTATTTAATTTCTGAAAACGTGAATTTTGTGAACAAAAATCACATTGGTAAGTTTCAGTTAATTGATATAATGTTTTAAATTTTTTGTCATTGAGAATCCATTCCAATTTATTAGTGTAGTCACATATGTTTAGAATCTTACTAGAGCCAAACACCTTTTGCCTACACCAATGTTTTCATAAGTTGTTTATACATATGATGACTGTAAACCAACTACACTGGCAATATGCCAGTTAGATATATATATATATGAGCATTTAAACACACAGGATTTATCCAGCAGAACTGTTTAAAAGCTCCTAAATCCCCCACTCTCTAATGTGTATACGTAGCAGAATAAACCCTATCTCCAAAAACAATTTCAAAAGTGAATCTTTAATCAAAGAAGATTTAATGACTTCATTTCTTTCAAGTGATCTCTATTTTAATTTAAGATTTTTGCTTCTATCCAATTATCAATGTAAATAATTTTCCATTTATTTGTCCTAAATTACTGTTCTTAATATATTTATGTAAATTGCTATTCCTGTTTTCTATTTCACATTTTTGTGTCCATTGTTAACCCTTGTGTGTCAGGTTTGTTTTGGAAATAAGCTGAAAAAAGGCAGTTTTTATTTCTCTTTTTGATAGCCTATACTTGTATATTAATGAAACAAAAGTTCTTTTATGCACAAATATATATATATGTAAATGTTCCATATCTGGATTTATATGTAATATATATTATTTCAATGAAACTACAGTTAAGAATAGAAATGTTTTGTTTTTTACAATGTTTATTGCAAAACAAATAAATATAATGCTATAATATAAAAGAAATTACATTAATTGTTAGAAACTAGTCCCCTTTCTAAAAATCTGCTTTGGAATGGTACACTCTGAAACAATGTGTAACACAAAAACCAACATTGCAATCTGGACAGTTGTAAGTGCTTTATCACTTCATTTTCTTTCCTTTTGAATCCCTTTGAACAATACACACTGTATTGTTGGTTTAGTTTTCTTTTCTGTAGCTGGTATAATACCAGGGAAGTGGCATCCTGTCAGATAAAGGTGAATTTGGTGTTGTCCCTGGGTGCCCATCTTTTGAGAAGAATTTGGTATTAAGAGGACTTTTCTATCATCTTCTCAGTTATGGCCATTTCTTAATTCCCAATGTTTTCTTTGGCCTCCTGTTTTAGAATACAAAACACGAATTCCAGAATGCCAGTTCTAAAATATGGAAGAAGATTTTTTGTGATACTTCTGTCCCCACTTTCTTGGAACGGGATAGTGCAATCAATGTTAGTGAACTTTTTCAATGTCACTTAAAGTGCCATTATAATCAGTGACTACTTTTGTCTTCTTCTTCACTTCTCATTTTTTAACATCAACTATTTCAGTGTTATGAGCCAGTGAAATCAGGGTTACATCTTTTTTTATCCTTCTAGCACATAAAATTAACGTTTCTTCAATATTTTTATCGTAAAGTCTGGAGGCATTTCTTTTCTTACAAGTTTTACTGTCCCATATTTGTCAGTGGTGTGAGAAATAAATATGTCTGGTAGTTGTGGGCAAGTGTAAAGATTTCAATAATGACATCACAACCTGTGAAGACATAGGAAGCTCTTTATAATCTTTTTTTAACAACTGTCCCTTTTCCTGTGTAGATTAGACTTGACCAGATGTATCTCAACTTTGATTCACAAAGCATGAACATCGTGATATAAAATCTGCCCTTTTTTAGAGGAATGTAATGACCCTAACCTAGTTGTCCTATGAACAGCATAAGACTTGTCAATAGCAATGTCTTTGTCTGGTGTATAAATAATCTTGGATAACTCACTTAGCTTCTCTAAAACAGGTTATATCTTTTTCAGCTTTGGACTTGGGTGATTTTTTTTATTATAAGTATCATTGTCAGAGAAATGAAGGTATTGTTTCAACATTACATACCTTTGGTAAGACGTAATTTGAGGGAAAAAAGGTATGATAACGAGATGATCTCAGAACCAAAAAAAATGCTGTTCAAGTTCAGACACAATCTGTAAAATTATGGTGATATGAAATGTGTGTATCTCAACATTTGTTATGGGATGCCACTAACTGCAGTGGGATTGATGAAACTTACTTTAGCATGCTTGGAGACACTCAGCTGCATAATGGTTTATTTCTATTGTTATCATATCTACTAATACATCATCAAAATTGCAAAATTTTGTCAATAGGGTCAATATTGATATTCAATGAAGTAGCATCATAAAATTGTAACCTAGATAGAGAAAGGGGAAGTTGACTGGTAGTGTCTGCTTTTACCATATACATGATTGTAATAAGACAATGTCATTATTGTTACACTCTAAACTACTTTGTTCTGAGGTAGTAGTTTTACTTCCAGAAAAACCTGTTTTTACTTTCATCCCGATCAATGCCAGTTTCAACATCCATTTCAGCAACTCAAAATGGAATACAAATAAAGTGAGAACTGATTGATAGGTTACAAATGGAAAAATGTGACTCTACTACCAGAAAACAACATATTTTACTGACTAGAGTAATGGGTACACAATTCAGAATAGATCAGCAAGAACAGCATGTTCCAACACCATGTAACAAGCATGACTGTAATACATGAAAAAATTTGGGTAAATAATTAAAAATAAGTGAGAAATAGTTTGCCGGAATTAACTCTAGTAAATCATGGAATGAGTTAACATCCTATTACAGTATAACACAAAGATATGCAATGAACATGAAGTGTTTGAGGAAGAATGGCCTAAGTTATAGAACAATGTTGCAAAAGACCCCCCACCACCAAAAAAAGTAATAAATGCAAACTGCATTTGGAATTTTCTTAAATCATGAATCAATATTTTAACATAATATGGGAACTTATCACTAAGTTATAAAATATATTCTTCAACTTGACTTAATGCTAAAAACTACAACAGATTTTGAATGACTGATAATCACAAATTTTATTATGTGCATAGTTCTTGTCCAGTTTTTTTCTTCCTCTTTAGCTTTTACTTGTATGTTAAATGTGATTTTTGTTTTGTTTTTTTCCGAACTGAAGAAGTTTGGAGAAAAAATATTTACTAAGACTATAAAATTGCAAATGAAATAAATGTACAATATTGCTTCTTAACATTATATTTAGAAAATAAATATTTTGAATATGTTTCCCTGAAGTATGATCTGGAAATAAAAATGTACAATTTTAACAGAATACTATGAAAATTGTGCTTCAGTTCAACAATAACAGGTCAATGAAAGCTTTATGCTTAAATTTTCATTTGTGGAAAGAAATTTCTCAACACCTTATATGGCAGTGACTTCAACTTGTATAATTGCAAGGATTTTACAGTGAAGACCCATTTTTTATTTGTGTCATTAGAAAGGATTATTAAACATAAATACACCACTAAACATTGTCATCATCACCATTTTAAACATTCAAAATCAGTACTTGTAAAAGGTTCTTATTAACCAAGCTAAAACTTCTAAAGTAGGCCTAGCCTACTATATAATTCCATACAAAGGTACTATAGTTTGATCCTTTTACAATAATTTGGTCTAATGATACTTTAGCTTGATACTCTAGTCCAACAATTTGACCTGGTTCACTACTTTTAAGCCTTTTTTTTTTTTAGATTTTCTTAAAGCTTAATATTAATCAACAAACATTGCATCTGGCTACCTACAAACTTGTACCTTAAATAACGTAACTAAAAGCTCAAAGAAACCAGTAATTTGTCTTGTTCTTTATATACGTATAATTTTTTCAAAGTAAGCCTCTAGATATATTACAACTTGAACATTTTTGCTGAAGAACAAATGTTTCTATAACTACTACCAGTTATGACAGAAAAAAAAATATCCACAAAAATTAATGCCAGTAGCAAAAATGTTTTTTCATTTGTCTTTACTTATAAATATTTGATGGCCAGGCATTGTGTAGACAATTTTTTAACAGGCAGTTGAGATATATAAAAAATATACACTTAATATAACTTATTTGATCTATATTTCATCACTGTAGATTTAAATCATTAGAAAGTAATTTCTGTGAGTAAATACAACATTTAGCTAGACACCATTTAAAACTCAAATTATTATTTTACTAACAATTCAGAAATAAATATACAAAATTATATAAATCACATAATCATTAAAAAAATATTAATATTAATATATGAGAAAGTAAAAGTGATTGTTCAATAAACTAAAAAAAAAGGCAATTAATATGTATAGTCCATTTGTTCTTTTAAGTTTGTACCTTTATATTTACACTTTCAGTTATAAACATTAAATTTGCTCAGAAAAAGATAACCATTAAATTTAAAAATGACTTGAATTGTGATATCAAAATAAATCCTTTGTTAAAACTTATTTCATCATCTTAATAGGTTTAAAGAATTTCACCATTTTTTTTGTGAGGTACACAAAATGTCTGTCCAATTACCTTTTACCAATGATATAAATGGATGGAACTTTATAATAGATTAACCAAGCCTGTGATGAAAATAAATATACTTAAATTTTTAAAAAATACATAACTAAAACTACCTGAAATTAAAAAAATAGGTTTCTTTACTATAACAATATGTTGTTTATTAAATACCTAATGTGTACTGCTATAACTGATACAATTAAATAGATCTTAGAAAACATATATATATATATTCATGTTCTAAAATTCTTCTATATATGCAAGATATTTGTAGAATCCACTTTAGTAATCTCGTGAATCTTGACTAATTTTGAAATGTGGAAGTTCAACATTTTCAATCTAACAAACAAAAGAACAGTAGAACATCTCCAGTTATAATGACATAAGGTTATGGAGAATAAATCATAAAATAACAAGTGTATGCAAGATCTCAAGTCCTTTAAATCATGGTTCTACTTTATGTATGTATAACATGAGGAAATTCATGTTCTAAAATGCTTCTCTATATGCACGATATTTGCAGAAGGTGCTTTAGTAATCTTGTGAAACTTTACCTATTTTGTAATGTAATGTGAATAAATTAATTCTAGTGTTGAATTTAGTGTTTTTTTAAATATTACCAGATAATAAGTATTGACTTGATAGTGTTCAAAATAACTGGTTATTTTTTCTTTCATTTTTGCTGTTTGTCCAACTTCTTGTGGACCTTTCTTTGCTAGTGTTTTTAAAATTTTAACAAAGATATATGTAGGGAAAAACCACAAAATATATAATTTTGACACAAAAGTTGGTGCCCCTAAAATGATATGTATATATTGAAGAAAAAATAACAAAGAAAATGTAAGGTCACTGTATAAACTAAAAACATGTATATACAAATCTCATAAAAAATCTGCCACAAACTGTGTGTGGAATGTAGAAACTTTCAAAACATTTTAATTTTTATCTTAGCAAAAATTTAATAGGATTTTGGAAGAAAAAAAGTTCTCTCTAAAACAAAAGAACCTATCCTGCTACATTCTAGAGAAATATATTTACATCAACGGCACATGAATGACAACAATTATGTATTCTCAATTGAACTGTACTGATCTGTTTAATTGACCTTTTTAAGTAACAGAATAAACTACTCAACCATAATTTAATAAACCAGAAAACATGGCTGTATGAAAAATACAAAAAGCTTCAGAAATTTGCTCTGGGAAAGCTACAAGCACATACCTAGGACAGGCATTCTTTTCTATCTGACAAGTGTTCTCACCCTGTACATTAATTACTTTGAAATAAGTCTCCATAATAATTATAACTATTAAAAACAATTGTGGAAAATATATAAGTGTTGTGATGGTATTTGTTACCATAATAATCTTATTGATCACATAGCTAACAATAAAAGAAAAGCATAGAATTTCTAAACCACTGAACAGACAAATTAAAATGGTATTGTTTGTATAATCGAAAAGCACTATCATCATAACGTGTGTGTACAGGATGTATTTTCAAAATACAAATGATATGAAACAAATATATTTTTTATTCATAAACCATTCCCCAATCATGTATGAATATAGGTTAAAGCTTTTATGTTTACTGTGCCTTCCAACTATTTTAAGCCCACTACTTAAGTTACTTGCTAAAAATGGTACCAAGTCTAACAATGACAGAAAACAATGGTTGTTCAAAATTACAATTTTGTCGGAACTTATGCTATGTGTAAATTCAGCATCTTCATTATTTAGTGATCATACTGTATACTGAATAGTATTATCTATGTTAAAAACTCACAGAAGAATAACTTCGAACATACCATTACATCTGTGTGTAGCTGCCCTATTTCTTTCTATGATGATATAATGCCACCAATTATTATTTGCCACGCTTTATTTCAACATAGAAAACGTTTTATCAACTATGGAGAACAAATCATTAAATACACGTGTGCAAGATCTTAAGTCCTTGAAATTGTGGTCTTAATACATTTCTTTAGCAGATTTATTGTTATTCCTCAATGACTTTACGTTATGGCAAATACTAAAGGTAATTGGTGCTGCTGGAAAATTAAAATTTAGCATTTATTAATTGATATTGAGATTACATTGTAAAATATATGATTCCTCAATAGTATGGAAATACAAACATTCTATTACAAGAAGTTTTTTTTTAAATCGGTGTTTATTTTTAGTTTTTTGTAGATACCTTAAAATCTAATTGTTGGAGTTTTCACTTTTAACATCGTAATGAGGATACTGATATACTGTAATATTCTCTGCACACTAATTTTTCTTATGGGAATAATAACAGTTAAAGCTTTTTAAGAGCACCTAATTTTTTATATAAAACAAACTTACCACTAATGGAAGAAAAGTGTTCTTTTTCTTTCAGAGTAATATTCTAAAGAAATATAGTCTGTATGGAAAGAGTTAAATCTTGCAAGCACAGTAACTCTGGAAGGGGGGGGGGGGGTGTTAATGTAAAATAAACTGAATAACCATTTGTGGTGTGTATTGGAAAAAATACTGATTTTTTGTGTCAGAGATGATTTATTGGTGTTTTTTGATTAAAACCAAAAATGAGATGCCTTAATTATAAGTTTGCTGATCACAAAGGTACAGTTTTTCACTCAAATTTATGTTGCAGTTCCCCTTAACCTTACAACACCAATAATGTACCCCATATTCACAGTTTCTGCAGCACTGATGACAAGGATTACAAGTCTGAAACCAATTAACGATGAACTTCTGTCAACAACAGAGATTACTCAAAATCCATAGTTTCTGATGCAGCCAATAAAAGTATGCACTTTACAACAAAACCTCAGCACACCCTAACAAACAAAAGAACAGTAGAATATCTCCAGTTATAACGAGAGTCAAAGACATTAATGAATAACTAAACAACACTGAAGATCAACCTTTGTACTAGTACAATTTAAAAGCAAAACTGGCTAACAGACAAGATACAACATTGATTTACTTTTACACAGCAATCTCAAGTATTCACAAGAAATATCAAACTTTCCAGTAGGCAATGACTATATCTATGAAAAGACCCAAAAGTTAACTACTTTGCACAGTGTGTGTGTGTTTTACATGCAACCCAGTATTTAATCTGTTGTGTAATATGCTGGAAATATGGACATTATATAACATCTATATGTTGGACATGCAAACCCACGATTTGAAGACGGTACCAGAGAGCATTTGTATCATGTTAAAAAACACAAACAGTTACAGGATAATACACAACACAATATCCAGTGCTGAACAACTAACAGGATTGCACTTGAAATGTAAAGAACACAATCTCAAGGAATTTTTAATAAGTAAACTTAAAAATACATTGATCAACAGAAAATATTTTTTTAAAGGAAGTTAATTTACAATGTTGGATCAATGCAGTCAATTGGAATGAACACTTCTCCATATTTAGTTTTCTATTTGTTATTGTCTAATTTATAATCATTATTTAAAAAAAGTACTTACTGGTGAGAATAAATATTGTAAAAACAGTAAATCAGAAGCTGGTGTAGCTAGAGTAAATGAATAAAACACAGAACGGAATCTGGTAAAAAACATTTTGGGATCTTATAAATAAATAAAACATAATAATGACATTAAAGGAAAACTAAACAAGGTTAAAAAAATTTATCTTTCAAGGAAGCCCACTTTTCTTCAAGATGAAATGCCAACAAATATTACATGTGGATTTAACACTCAAACCTAAATCCTCTTGTCTAATTTGTTAGTAAGTTAGAGCAACCTACTAAACTTACATAATCAGTCTTTTCTTGTATTACTTCTTTACTGTTACATTTAATTTTTAAGGAGTTATATAATGTATTTTTTTCAAAGCTCCTTTTCAATAGCAATATGTTTAATTAAGCATGAATTGTAAGCATTATAAGAGAGTAACTGTATATAATGATTAGTTTTGATTTATTCCAGTAAACTGAAAAGTGATATTGTCAAGATCAGGTTATCAATTAAAAACAACTCAACAATCACACAGCTGGTATCTGTATTTCCAATGATTTCAGGATGGTTACTGCAGCCAGTTATGATTATATTGTTATTATGGAAACATGAAAGTGTGTATTGTGTTACTGCAGTTAAACTTGCTAAAAAACAGCTTCTAAACCTGCCTTAAATAAATGGGCTAATAAATACAGTAAAAGGACTAACACCATGGAAGTAGCCTGTTGATGGAGATGACAGCCTGGTTGCACACAAATTCTTAAAGTACATTTCCTGATCACCACTCCAACAGATTGCAACATGACTATAGAGAAGCATAAAAAAATCTGCAGCTGTTTATATTAGATTTTTATGTACCAGATTGAATTGAAGCATACCACACAGCTAAATAAGCTATGGATGATTTAAGGGAGATTGTAAGATCAAAATTAATAATAAAGGTGCATTTTTTTTAGGAATACAGCACTGATTAATAACTTTATCACTTCTTATATGTTCCCCAGTGGATAGGAATAAGTCATAATACTCTTTTAATATCATTTGATATTAACATAACACTGATGAAAGTTGTTTCAACTTTGGAGGTTGGGGGGGAGGTGGTATGTTTACCTAGAGGAGTGAAAGCTGAAACCTTGCTTTCTTTCTTTTTTTAAAGAGATAAACTTGAATTTTGTAAAATTATTAGACTGGAACAAGCAGCTTTTGTTTTATGATCATTATGTTAGTATTCTACAACAGCAAGATGTATATATTGTTTCACTTTCAGCTCTACACTTCATCCAGACTAAGAAGGCTAGACTCCTCAGAAAGCTAGGATTGTTCTTCTGTTATATCATATTTGCTTCTTTTTTGTCATTAAGTTTTTGTTTTACATATTTGCTTATAATGTTTGAAAAAAATGTTTTTGTCAGTTTGTATTCTTTGTTTGGTTTAACAAACACCAGGTTTCTGGTTTCATTTGTTTTCTACTATCTCCACAAACCTGTAATTTGTTTTTAAACTTTTTTAAGGTATGTGGTTCTAATGCCTTTTTAATTTTATTATATGTACTATACATTTCTATTTTTCACCTTTCATAAACATTCTTCACATCTACTCTCACCTCCTCCTTGTTATGTTTAACATACCATTGATATACACCTGTATTATCTCCCAGTTGAATGTGTTTCAATAATATTACATAATTAACTCTGCTATCCAGTATCAATTTGAACATCCACAACAGACCACAATTACATCTGAAAAAAAAAAGTGGTTGCTTAAAACTTCCCCTTATTAATAATAATTTCACCCAGGGCTATTTATTCTTTACAAGAACACAGTATATTAATTTGTATAACAAATTGTCAGACGTAGATCTCTTAAACAAATTAGTTTGAGTCCAGTTTGTTCAGTGGTTTACAAATGATCAGAGATGCTTTTATTACTAACATTTCTTATCTAGCCTTTAGCTAAAGTTGCATTGTTTATGACATAATTATTTAAAACTTAAAAATTATTAAGCACAAAGAGAAATTTGTTTTGGTTGAGAGTAAAATACAACTAAAAAAAAATTACTGCATTGAAAATACAGGCAATTTCTTTAATGTTCTGGAGAAAAAAAATTAAGTCTTAAAAGCTATTAGTTTTATCTATCTAAACAAGTATGATCCTTACCAGACAAAATAACCAGAAACATAAGCTGTACAAATCCAAATGTCAAATGGACAGTCTCAAAAATAATTTAGTCTGGCAAACCTAAAGCCAGTTAAAACTTTAGCTCAATACAGCTTTTTTTAAAAAAGATGTCTTAATTGTCAGAGCTTTTATGTTAACATAGCATAATAAATATATATTTCTGGATATATTCAGTTCTTATTACAATTAACAACAGCTGGAGCAAGTAGTCTATGACTGTAACAAAATTAACAAAGTTTAAGTTAACAAAATCATGTCAGGGTTCTGACAATCAATCGGAACTCTACTTGTGTTAAAGTAGTCATATCTACATATAAAGAAACAACTTGTACATACTCACAGTAAGTCAAAATACCAGTTTAAGTTGTACAAAAGCATACAATGGCTACAATCACATAGGGTTAATTGTTCTAAGACTGGACATTGCCAAAGGTGCCAGGTGGAGGTCTGTACTGCTTGGGTAGAGCCATTAACTGTAAACTGTTGAATGCATACTTCCTCACACCCACATTCTTGAAGGTGTTCTCGCGTCTTGTTCCTTCACTATGGAACACCCAAGTATAAGTATCAAAAATACTAAAATGTTTTTACTTACATTTAAAATACCAAAACTTAATTCCTTATATATCTATATCTATCTATATATATATATATTAACATTCCTGATAGGTGTAACATCTTAGACTTAGCAGCAAGTACTGTGTTTATAGCAGTGTTCTGTTCAAATTATAGTTTTATTTTAAGACTTTGTTTTTTAAGTTTTTAAATGTTATCAGACACTCTTTTTTTCCATCAGAAAGCTATTAGTAAATTTATTGTAAATACCAAGGATACATTCCAAATCATAGTTGTTATTTGTGTACTGACAGCATGCAACAATAAATCTTGTAACTTTTTATTTTAAGATTTAAGGTAAGGATGTTATAATAGCTTTCACTCATGTAAGCTTTATAAAGAGAAGACAGATTTTAGTGGACTTCTAAAAAAAACTACACAATGTATTTATTAAAAAATACAAAGTGATTTTTGTTGTTGTAGCTTCAGATTTTGCTGAAAACTTTTGATTAAGTTCTAAACAGAACAATTATAGAAGTCAGAAATATGGTTTGTTAAATGCTTATGGAGTCATTAGACAGTTTTCAGCTGTTGTGTTGTTAAATAAAATGAAAATGCATATAAAAGATGTTTTTAATTTGACTAGCTCTTATAAGTTGTGAAATAATACCTGTCTCAGTACGTTTTGAAATTTAGTAGTAACATGTAAAGTTTTTCATTTCTTTTTGTGATTTTTATATCCAAGTGCTATTAAATATTTCACCAAATAACATTTTATTCTTACAAGGTATGCAACTTGCCTAAAGCTGCTACATTAAATTTAATTTTATAACCGTATATACTAAATAAGAATAGCATATTAATGAAAAAGTATCAAATTACACTAAGTGTTATTGGCCTTTAATTAAATTTATACAAAACTATTAGGTCATCAAGAAATTAATGTCAGGTTTTTTTAGATGAAAAAACCCAAACAACTTATTATATCAAAACAAAACATTTATTAAATGAAATAGTCTCCATTCTTATTGATGATGCTTTTCCATCTTACAATCAGGGTTGTTAATGCCCTGATTAATGAAATCACTTGGCTTTGAAGCAAAAAACATGTGGATGTCCTCTTTAACATCTTCCACATTTGCAAATGTTTTCCCATTAAGATGGTGTTGGAGAATATGGTGGGTGGGGGAGAGCTTCCCAACCTAACTCCATAATCTTGTGTTGCGTCAAACATACCACATGTGGACGTGCATTGTCATGGAGAAGAAGAACATCTTTCCAGTTGACGAGTGAAGGGCATTTCTGTTGAAGGGCTTGATTTAAATGTTCCAGTTGCTGACTATAGATCTCTGCATTGACAGTTCGCTGTGGATTGAGGAGTTCAAAATGAATAACTCCTCTGATGTTCCACTAAATGCAAAGCATCACTTTCTGTGGATGGAATCCAGGTTTTGGGGTCAGAAGTGGTTTTTGTCTACGACTGAGCCATTGTTTATGGCATCTAATATTTGCATAAAGAATCCATTTTCATCACCGGTGACAATTCTGTCCAAAAATGGTTCATGCGCATTATGCGCCAGAATAGATGAAGCAACATTGGAAACGATGATCACTGGAGTGTTTGTGAGGCATCCAAACACCTTCTTTATGGAGTTTTCCCATATTCCTTAGATGTTTACGTATTGTTTTATGAGAGACATGCAATTTCAGGATCATTTCACAAGTTTGTTGAATTGGGTTAGACTCAACAAGTCTTCAGAGCATCAATATCAATTCCAACATGTTGGCCCCTGCCATCACAGGTTTTAAGGCTAAAAATTCCTGAACGAAATTTGCTAAACCATCGTTGACACAAACGTTAAAAACATTTCCATAAACTTCTTTGACATTCTTTGTGGCTAGAGGCATTGTTTCCCTTCTTGTATTCAAACAGCATTACATGTCAAATGTGTGTCATGTCATGTGCCATCACTTTAAGGGATTAGAGTATACAAAAC